GTTTCTGTGGACCCAAATGCTTCTTCTGCTCATCCTGGTTTCTACACCACGAATAAGTAAAAATAATGTTTTTTTCTCCATAAATGCTATAATTTCTTCACATTTTTCTTTGACATGGTAACATATGATTTTCCTGCATTTAGATGCATTTCAAATAGACTCACAAGAAGATCTTTTCATTACCTTGGATGTAATGGTACATAGTCCACGAGTCAAGAGAGAGGTGTAGCGTTTTGTAGTTTCCAAGGATCAATTAGAATGAAATCTCGAATAAGAATTCATGTAGTCAACTCAAAATTTATCGCAAAAAGACATGCATTCAACTAGATCTTCAAATACGACAGGACAATGAACAATAAATGTGCTCGAAATATAGGGTTCATGATCTCATCCTTTTTACCTGAAATCTGCACATGTAGAAGCCATCACCAAGCACAGCTTTGAATCCTTAAATAGGTGAAATTGAAGGGTTACTTGGATGAAAAGCTACACTAGTATTAACCAGTGCCTTAATCCTATCAGGCCTGAACAAGCAAAATTACCAAGCAATCATTGCACCCCAGTCATGACCAACCAAAAATACCTTTTCAAGGCTGAGAGCATCCAGTAGTGCCACAAGATCCCCAACAATATGGTGAATGGTGTAATCACCGACAGAAGGCAGTACGTCCGAGTCACAAAGCCACGAAGGTCGGGGCCAATTGCACGGTAACATTTAGACGATAGATACAGCATTTGATGTCGCTACGAATACCATAACTAGGGAAAACCATGGAGGAAGAGTACAACAGGACCTTCCTCTATCTCCGCTACATGGATGTTAAAGCCATTCACGACCAAGTTTCTGTGCACAATCTGATCCATCTCTTTGAATTTTTTGCTTTTCAAGACGAGGCTATATCATTCATATTTTATGGTACAATTTGCCCTAATATTCCCTCAATTTAAGGTTTATAGTATAGTAATTTGTCCAAAAAAGAGGGAAATGGGACAGATCCCCACAATAGTAGAGTTCTTGAATCAAACAGGAAATTAAAAATTCTGGTAATAGGCACATGCATATTTTGAGTGTTGACATAACCAATGGATTATAAATAAAGAAAGTAGATAATTTGTAGTAATTATGTGTAATTGTTGAATTAATCATTTTAGCATTATACTAAACACTGAAAGTGCATGAAATAGTTATGATGCAACTCTGTGTCTTCTTGAGAGAGAAAAAGTTGTCTCTTGTCCTCCGATGGTCCTGCGAAAAAAAGGTTAGGGCTTCCTCCTCTCGTTTTACTTCCGGCGTGAGAATCAGTAATTATTTTTAGATAAAAGATTTCAAGGAACAGCAACAATGACAGAGGGGAATATTTTTTCTGAAAAAGAAAGATCACTTTTACCTGACATGCCCATGGGGTATTTATAGGCATCTGGCATCACGTAACCGTTGGGTAATTGCCATCCACGTGTCCTCATAAGTCTGGCATCACGTAACCGTCGGACATTTGTCATCCACGTGTCCTCATGAGACATGCCCACTCCTCAGACGGTTTTTCCATTTGTTCAGCAATTATCCTACGCCCACAACCCGAATAGCAGGTTTAATGATAACTATTAAAATGGCTATTGACCAATTCCAATGATGTTCAGGTAATCCGAATAACGGCGGTCGATCTATGCGTGGTGAGAGTCAGACTAGCATAGCAACAAACACTCTAATATGGCGAGCATTACTGACATGCTAAAAGCTGTCTGAACCCTGAGTCTAACCCTAGCAAATGAACACATTGTATCCGCTGAAGTTGGTAGCAAAGCGGAATCACCAATACTCCCCTGAGCGATGTTCTGAACTGACCCAGAGCCCGTCACAAGAGGTACTGTATCAAACTGAATATCCACCACGGTACTAAACTTATCCTGATGTCTCTTAATTGGTTCTGCGCTTCCCTGCATGATGTACAACTGAGACTTCTTCCATCCATCCAATACAACCCTGGACATCCATTCGGACTTTCAAAACTCCACCTCTACCAGATAATTTATACCCTTTTGCACCCAAAGTACTAAGTGAGGTGAGATTTCTTTTCAGGTCCGGAACATGTCGAACCTGATCAATTGTTATGACTTTCCCATCCCGAAACTTTAATCTGACTAGTCAATTCCTGTAATACGGCAAGACTGGTTGTTTCCCATCACAACTCTACCTTGCTTGATAGCCTCATATGTCTAAAAGAAATTTTGATTGGAACACATATGATGCGAACATGTCGAATTGAGAATCCACTCCTTGTCAGGCCTAGATTCCATATCAGATACCACGGTCAACATCACATTTTCGCCGTCTGAAAAATCTTTTACTACATTTGTTTCGTCTGAAGTCAAAGGTTGCACTCCACGATTTTGCCGCTAAATCATATTTAGCCTACAACTTATCACAATCTTTCCGAATATGTCCTTTATGTCTGCAGTAGAAGCAAAACAAATTGCTGTTATTCTTCGATCTACCCCTCCGTCTACCACATGAGATACAAGAGCTTTCTTATCCATCGATGTAGCTCCAAACAAATGCACACATTCTCATTTGAATGCAAAGCATTATAGATGTCGTCTATCGTCAAAGTATCCCGACTATATAAAATGGTGTCCCGAAACAACACATTAGAGCCAGGCAGTGAACATAACAAGATCAAGGTAAGATCCTTTTCTTTGTACTTAACCTCCAACATCTCCAAATCTGCAACTATTTTCTTGAACACGGCAATATGGTCCTCCAATGACCCTCCTTCCACGCATGCGATTGGAATACAGCTTTTGCTTTAGAGCCAATTTACTGGTAAGACTCTTGATCATATATAACTGATTTAGTTTCAACCACAAACAGTTGATGTTTTCTTCTTCATGACATCATGTAGAATATTATTGGATAGATGAAGATAAATTAATGACAAAGCCTTTCGATCCCTCAGTTATCCAATTAGCTGGCATCTTCTCAAAACCCAGCAACACATCATCCAAATTTAACTGTGCGAAAATAGTTCTCATCTTTACTCGTCATAAAGAAAAGCTTGTATTGCAATCCAATTGCGGAATATCATACTTCAAAGCAGCCATCTCTGAAAAACCTCAACTAATCTTCAGAAGAAGAACCAAGATTTGATACCACTTGTTGGACCCAGAAGGATTGTAATGAATGATGTTAATGACGTGATATGAAGTAATAAAGATTGCATGGAGAAACAATATTTAAAAGTAAAGAAAAGATTGCATCGAGAAACAATATTTAAAAGTGAAGAAATTAATAAAGAGAATTAATCACAGAAGCACGACATTTTATTAATCGACAATATGAAGATAAATAAAAGAACTTAACAATTCTTGCTTGAACAAAATTGAAAGAGAAACCCACTATTTATAGGTACATGGCACAGCATAAAGATAAAAATAATGTGAAATAAGAAAATAATATCTTTCATAAAAATCACGTTAAATATAAGGAAACAATTTTTTCCACACCAAAATAAGGAAACAATTTAATTAAAAAAAAAATCCTCTCTAATTTGAGTCACAAATCCAACATCATATTGCGATCCATCTTTGTAAATGGATAAGGTGATGATTTATTTTAAAAATCACATTAAACTTTTCAAGTGCTATAAGTTTGCAAGTCAAAGTTACAATTTAGCATGATTAGCTCTCGTTTTTAATATATATTAATATCAAATATTTATTTTAAATACAAAAAATTATATTTATGATAAAATATTATTGAAGTCAATTATGCTAAGAAAAGTTAAAAATAGAAGCTTCTACAATTGTTCGATGGGGATGAGCTTCATTCGCTCTCTTGCTGTGATGTTTTCATTTAAATAGGTGTCAGTATCTTGACATAAAAAATATACACGTTATTGTTGTCAACGGATCTCTGTCAAGTCCATGTTTGTTCGTAATTCATATGTACCGATTGATGTCTTGAGAATTTTCTCGATCTCCAAAGATTCTATGCTGGTTTTTAGGAATTGATATGGTAGTTTCAATGGAGGAATCTCATTCTCCAAATATATTTGGTCTTTGTTCCAAGAATCAAGGACTCAATGGCCCTCACTCGCTAGAACCCACCAAGACGCCGCTAAGAATCATACTAGGACAAGGGGTTCATCTAGTGTAAAGTTTATACGTGGTGATAATATTATGCAAAGACACTATGTATTACTCGATATCGTCGAATAGAAGTTTAAGGTTAGAATAAGGGGCGACGATCACATGTTATTTCCTTGTGGCATTATATCGAAGGCCTATTGGTCCTTGTCTTCTTAGTGGTGCTCACGTGGCACCTTCATAATTTTCAGGACGTAATAACTACAAATTTAAATAAAATAAATACTATTAGCCAAAAAGTTATGCGTGAACTACGTAACTTAGGGTACATAATAAACTATGATATCATGCATAAAATAAGCCTATGTTTGGAAGTAGATTTATAAATAGTTAAAGTCAAATATTAATTTCAATCACACATTATTATTTAACATTTTGTGAAATTCACTATTATTCGTCTTACTATTTCTCTTTATAAACTATTACTAGATTTGCGAAATAGACACTAAAATGAATATAATGACAAAACGATAATAAATGTTACGTATTGCCTCAATCCTTTTGTTTTTTCAAATCGAATTGAATATTTATTCTCTGTTTTATATGACAAACCATGATCTCTCATTTCTTTTGTTGAGCACCTACTTACTCTATTTCATGTAAATTGAAAACCCTATTTATAAGTTTCTCCAAAAAGGAAAATGCAAGCATACAAAAAAGGAAAATAAATAAATAAGTAGGAGATGAGGGCAAAAGTGTAAAGGAAAGGGAACAATTGTCAAGAATTGTAGTCCATAGGTTAACCAAGGCTCAGCCAAACAGTGGGTCCATATATAGATAGATCAAACCATGCATGCGTACCCATGGGATTTTCCCAATAAGTATATAAAGCTCCAAATTTTACTACATACTCTTCATTGTCCTTTCCTAATACACATTTTCCTCTCTTTATCTCTCCTTGCCGCACACACTTTCTTCTTCTTCTTCTTCCCAAAAAATTATTTTGGAAATTAAAATAAAATAAATCTAATTAACGTTAAATAAATTAAATCTACTGTGCGAACGTATTACAGCTAAAAAATAAATAAAAATTGACCCCTTTTTTGGGTTTGAAAGTAGGAAAGAAAGAGATAGAGTTGGGGCAATATATATAGAGGAGGAAGAACATTGCCCTCGATTCTTACAGTTGCCTCCTCGCAGATCTTGCTCAAATCGGTAAAAAGTGAAAACTTTGATTTGGGTATTCAAGATTTTCTTGATATTGTGTGGTCTGTTATTAATCTAAATAAGTTCGATGACTGATTTCTTTGTTGGGTTGTTTTTCTCCATTTTAATTGTTTTCAGGGGTCTCTGATTGGACTGATCATCTAAGGATCCAATACTTTTCGATAGAATCTGATAATTATAGTCCTTTGCTCTTGAATAATTTGATATTTTTAGTTCTTCATACTCGAGGTATGTTCTTTTCAGTTTATTTTTCCTTTTCTATTTTTTCATTTGTTCTCCTTTTCCACCTGCATTTTATTGTGTGGAATCTGAAATCGGGTAGTGATTTAAAGTGTAATTTTGTTGCCTTTTTTAGTTCCATTTCAATGGAGCTCTGTGCTATTTGTTGGATCACTACTTGATAATCTGATTATTTCATGATTTACAGAAAATAGTTGGCTTTTGTGTTGAACTGAGTCTAGTAGTGGTGATTGTAAATGCAGATTTCGGAATTACAGTATTTTCGAAATTGTAAAATGATGCAGTCTGACCTTGGCAAGTTATTTGTTGGTGGGATTTCGTGGGACACAACTGAAGAACGACTCAAGGAATACTTTGGTGCATATGGAGATGTGCTGGAAGCTATAATTATGAAGGATCGTGCCACGGGTCGTGCTCGTGGATTCGGTTTTGTTGTTTTTGCTGATCCTGTTGTTGCTGAGAGAGTCATTAAGGATAAGCACAGAATTGATGGCAGGATGGTAGGTCATTCACATGTGTTGAATTCTTCTTTGAGGTTTTATCATCAGGGTTACTGCATCCTGGGATTTTGCATATATCCTGTCATTTTCTTTTCTTTTTCTTCTTAGTAAATCAAAAGAAGAAAAAAAGGAGTGGTATTATCTCTGAATTGTTGTAAGAAGAAAACATGAGACTGCTTGTAAGTAGCTTGTAATTGTTAAATTTCAATTGTTATCCAATGTTTGAAGGATCTAACCATGTAATAGAGTGAAATGTGGTAACAATATGTCCTTGTGTTTTTATACAGAGGAACTTGATTTTCTTTCCTTGTTTCACTATCCATTTCTGGTATTGCAACTAAAAGTTTTTCCTTCTTTGTGTTCTAGTTGAAATTTTAGCTCAAAAACTCAATTGTTAAATTTGTCTTACTTGGAACTTATTTATCATTATTAAGAATCTTTTTTTTTTTTTTAAGGTCGAGGCAAAGAAGGCTATTCCTAGAGATGATCAGAGCACAGGGAGTAGAAACAGTAGTCGCATTCAGGATTCTCCTGGATCAGGACAAACAAAAAAGATATTTGTGGGAGGTTTAGCATCCACAGTTACAGAGGGTGACTTTAAGAAGTATTTTGAGCAGTTTGGTACAATCACAGATGTTGTGGTGATGTATGATCACAACACTCAAAGGCCTAGAGGGTTTGGATTCATCACTTATGATTTGGAGGATGCCGTAGACAAAGTCCTGCTCAAGACATTTCACGAGCTGAATGGTAAAATGGTTGAGGTCAAGCGTGCAGTCCCCAAGGAGTTATCACCAAGTCCTAGCCGAAGCCCTCTTGGTGGATATAACTATGGAATAGGTAGGATCAATAGCTTTCTTAATGGCTATCCTCAGGGCTACTCTCCAAATACAATGGGAGGATATGGAGTTAGGATGGACAGCAGGTTCAGTCCAATTGCTGGTGGGAGAAGCAATTTTACTCCATTTGCTTCTGACTATGCTCTGGGCCTCAATTATGAACCTGCGTTAGGCCCAGCTTATGGAGGAGGTGTGAATATTAATAGTTCTCTCAACTATGGGCGGTCACTAAACCCTTATTATGTTAATTCAAGTTCAAATAGATTTGGCAATTCTGTTCAGATTGATGGTGGGAATGGAGGAAATTCCTCTTTTTTCAGTTCAGGTACCCATAATTTATGGGGTAATGGAGGGGTTAATTATGGAACAAACTCTGCTGGTTCTAGTAATTATGTCGAATCTGGGAGTGGGAACACTGGGGGAGGAACTTTTGGCAACAGTGGAGTTTGGGGTACTCATTCATTTTCACCACAAGGTAGACAGAACGTTCCAAGCCAAACTGGAAATTTTGGTTATGGAGGTGGTGATAATACTCATGGTTTGGCAGGGGGAGGCTATGGAAGAAACATTTCAACGAGTCGGGCCCCAACCTTATCATATGCTGCATCAACTGACAGCTATGATGGGGCTCTTGCTGATCTGTATGATAGCAGTTTGGGTTATTTAGACCCTACATGGCATTCCACAAATACTGAGCAAGAGGGATCTGGTTCATTTGGTTATGGTTTTGGAAATGGGCCTTCTGGCATTGCATCTAAAATTTCTCCTGGTTATGTTGGCAGTGATGGTGGTATCAAGAGACAGATTGATAGAGGTAAGCTGTTTTAAATGATTTATTTGTTTGCTGGGGGTGTTAAAATTTGTATGAATCATGGCAAATTATAGTCGTAAATGCATTTTCATGCTTTGTTGAGTGTTTCATCTGAAAGTTATTTATATTTACAAAATTATTAAACAATCTTTATTATTAGAAGATGGTGGCAGGGGAGATGCAGATGAGAGCGATGATGAGTGAAGACATGAACAACAATATGCTTTCATTTAAAGAAAAATCATATTTACAGTGAAGTTTTATAGTTGGTAGAAGATTGAAGGAAAAGCAAAATGCAATTGCTGAAGAAGGTGTAATATGTGAAAAGGCCAGATTGGTGCTGCCGTCACCTAGTTATATTTTCCAACAAAGCAGGATTTGCTTCACTGTATAATGTGAGGACTGGGATAGATAACTAGCACTGAGTTTATGAATAAAAATTGAGGGGTTATCATTGCTGTGAACTAGTCATAATTGAAGTGTTAAGTATTAGAATAAATTGTTTTCATGCCACTAGTTGGCCACTTTGTGATAATGAGCAGTTGATAATATACAAAATGGGCTATTCTTGAAGAAGTTAATGTATATCTATGTGCTGAATTTAGAAGGTTAGGGGTAGTCAGTAATAACTAATATCGATTGTTAAGGACACAGCATCAGGTGAAAAGACTGGACTGAGCACTTCTTCTTAAAATTGCATACCAACCATATAAACACATACCATTTCTCTGTAGTGTCTACAGGTAGTCATGTATCAAGGCACTAATTCAAGGCATAAACCCCAACATAAACCCAAAAAATGATTAAAAAAATTAAATAAGTATAAAAACTATACATTCTATACTATTTAACCATAATTTATCCAAATATTAGTACCAAAACACTTCAATCAAATTTGAAGTTTTGTTTTGCAGCTAGAAACATAAAATGGATCAACAAAATAGCAAATAAGATATTGTTGAATTAGAATCACGCAAGACCACTTATCCACAACTAGAACTAAAAATCTAAAACCTAGAAATGCCAAACAAACAACAGCTATTGAAGAATTTTGCTAAGTTTTGAGGTGTCACCGCTATTCCATGTTGCAGCATGACACATGCCCCCATCTTTCTCACACAATATATACATCTAAATTTTACCCTTCGATAAGGGAGTGGAAGAGATATTGGTAGGTGGAGCGGTATATGCTTATAAATCTTGTCAAACACTCAATTCTTAATCAAATGGAAGAGATCACAGAAGCTGTGGCAGTTTGGGGGAGGATATCAAGCAGTAATTGGCAATGAGAGCATAGCTAAGCCAACTTAGCAAGAGGGAAAATGCTACGCACCCAAATTTTTGCTGCTTTCTATGGATTGCCCGATGTTCATAGAATAATCGTCATTTTAGAACAATTTGAGACACTTGAGCTGGAGTGTATCTGCACTTCTCCAATTTAATTAAATTTTTTTTTCCTATTTTATGGAGATACTTGTGATTTGTGACAGGAGGTAAACATTCTAAAACTCTCCTCTTGAAGAGTGGATCTCCACAAGGGGCATAGATAGGGGATAGGAGGTTAGCTTAGAGGCAGCCCAAGCCCAATTCAGTAAAATTATACTTAAAACAAAATTATATGAAAATTTATATATTTCCTAATTTGCCCAGCCCAAAAAAATTTTAGTCCACCCCTGGCTCCATCCTTGATCTCCATCGCCTCCTCAAACCACCCATTCAGGATGTGTACAACTATGAATAGGAGCAGAGCCTTATTTCTGAAGCATTTTGTATGCATTCTTAAGTGGTTTGCCATTGGTTTGCAATGCAAAATCTATTCAAACAATCAAACTAGAATTAAGAAAGAGCAGAGGAAGCAGAAAAACGGGGAAAGAGGAAGAGAAGAAGCAATGATAGAATGGAGAGAGAAGATAGGATAGTAGGAGAAATCAGGGAGAAGGGGAGAAGGAGGAAGCCCTAGGCAACAAGCCAAACATTTTCATATTCTTCAATTCATCGTCTCCTTGGAAGGTCAGCACAAACATATAAATAATAAAAATAAACCTAATAGTTATGGGGCTTGGGCCGGCCCATAATACAAACCCAACCAATAAAGCAAAAGTTAATTAGTCCAAAGCAAGATAAGATGGTCCAAGAGGTGATGCCCTCATCAATTCTCCTGGGGTGGAAGAAGACCCTATCGAGTGGATAAATCACAAAAGAGCTATCGTCAATCTCTAAGTTAGTGTCTGAACTCATACCACGGGGGACGATCTTCCTGAAGAACCAAATATCGAAACTCAAGAGCTGATAAAAATGAAAGTGGTAACTTATCCTCTAGGATATGAGCTGACTAAGGAGGACGGTTTTGGAAATGGGCCTTCTGGCATTGCATCTAAAATTTCTCCTGGTTATGTTGGCAGTGATGGTGGTATCAAGAGACAGATTGCTAGAGGTAAGCTGTTTTAAACGATTTATTTGTTTGCTGGGGGTGTTAAAATTTGTATGAATCATGGCAAATTATAGTCGTAAATGCATTTTAATGCTTTGTTGAGTGTTTCATCTGAAAGTTATTTATATTTACAAAATTATTAAACAATCTTTATTATTAGAAGATGGTGGCAGGGGAGATGCAGATGAGAGCGATGATGAGTGAAGACATGAACAACAATATGCTTTCATTTAAAGAAAAATCATATTTACAGTGAAGTTTTATAGTTGGTAGAAGATTGAAGGAAAAGCAAAATGCAATTGCTGAAGAAGGTGTAATATGTGAAAAGGCCAGATTGGTGCTGCCGTCACCTAGTTATATTTTCCAACACAGCAGGATTTGCTTCACTGTATAATGTGAGGACTGGGATAGATAACTAGCACTGAGTTTATGAATAAAAATTGAGGGGTTATCATTGCTAGGAACTAGTCATAATTGAAGTGTTAAGTACCTAGCATTTGAAATTAGCCTGTGGAGACAAAAGATTGCAACATCGAAAGCTCGAATATGCCTTGATTAGGAAACAATTCTTCTATATTGAAAATATAACTTTCATTTAAGTGTGATGTCCAATTAAATAGAAAACCTTTGTACGAATACTCTAATTTATATAGCACATCGAAAGTAAATTCAAAAATTTCATGATTGGAAATGATTTGACCTTTTAACTTGGCATGAAATTTAGGAATATTGTCAACATAATGAACAGCTAGCACAGTGTGTCGATAATTAGTGGGCATCATCCTAATGTCAATAGGAAGAGTGTGCAATCGAGTGATGACCTTAGAGAAAAATGTGGCAGCCCGTAGAATCTCATGTATTTGAGGAAGAACTAAAACAAAGTCAACATGAAAGTCATGCAACATAGTAGGCACCAGATCTAAGACATCTGAAATATTTGACTTCGATGGCATTACTTTAGGTACTTTCTCAATTATGTCGCTGTTAAGTGTATCGACTACAGATGTGGTCAAAATAGGGGACACAATACACTATTCACAAGTCTCGATTTCTGTGAATATGGAGGAAAGAACTGTACTATAATCATTTAAACAAACCCCTAGAGATTTTATAGCTTGTGAAAACTAAGGTTTGAATGAGTCAGCACACTTCTCAATAAGTCTTGCCACCATACTAAATGTAATAGGAGAAACCTCTATGTTTATTTTGACCATTTCTCTGTAGTGTCTACAGGTAGTCATGTATCAAGGCACTAATTCAAGGCATAAACCCCAACATAAACCCAAAAAATGAATAAAAAAATTAAATAAGTATAAAAACTATACATTCTATACTATTTAACCATAATTTATCCAAATATTAGTACCAAAACACTTCAATCAAATTTGAAGTTTTGTTTTGCAACTAGAAACATAAAATGGATCAACAAAATAGCAAATAAGATATTGTTGAATTAGAATCACGCAAGACCACTTATCCACAACTAGAACTAAAAATCTAAAACCTAGAAATGTCAAACAAACAACAGCTATTGAAGAATTTTGCTAAGTTTTGAGGTGTCACCGCTATTCCATGTTGCAGCATGACACATGCCCCCATCTTTCTCACACAATATATACATCTAAATTTTACCCTTCGATAAGGGAGTGGAAGAGATCTTGGTAGGTGGAGCGGTATATGCTTATAAATCTTGTCAAACACTCAATTCTTAATCAAATGGAAGAGATCACAGAAGCTGTGGCAGTTTGGGGGAGGATATCAAGCAGTAATTGGCAATGAGAGTATAGCTAAGCCAACTTAGCAAGAGGGAAAATGCTACGCACCCAAATTTTTGCTGCTTTCTATGGATTGCCCGATGTTCATATAATAATCGTCATTTTAGAACAATTTGAAACACTTGAGCTGGAGTGAATCTGCACTTCTCCAATTTAATTAAATTTTTTTTTTTCCTATTTTATGGAGATACTTATGATTTGTGACAGGAGGTAAACATTCTAAAACTCTCCTCTTGAAGAGTGGATCTCCACAAGGGGCATAGATAGGGGATAGGAGGTTAGCTTAGAGGCAGCCCAAGCCCAATTCAGTAAAATTATACTTAAAACAAAATTATATGAAAATTTATATATTTCCTAATTTGCCCAGCCCAAAAAAATTTTAGTCCACCCCTGGCTCCATCCTTGATCTCCATCGCCTCCTCAAACCACCCATTCAGGATGTGTACAACTATGAATAGGAGCAGAGCCTTATTTCTGAAGCATTTTGTATGCATTCTTAAGTGGTTTGCCATTGGTTTGCAATGCAAAATCTATTCAAACAATCAAACTAGAATTAAGAAAGAGCAGAGGAAGCAGAAAAACGGGGAAAGAGGAAGAGAAGAAGCAATGATAGAATGGAGAGAGAAGATAGGATAGTAGGAGAAATCAGGGAGAAGGGGAGAAGGAGGAAGCCCTAGGCAACAAGCCAAACATTTTCATATTCTTCAATTCATCGTCTCCTTGGAAGGTCAGCACAAACATATAAATAATAAAAATAAACCTAATAGTTATGGGGCTTGGGCCGGCCCATAATACAAACCCAACCAATAAAGCAAAAGTTAATTAGTCCAAAGCAAGATAAGATGGTCCAACGGGTGATGCCCTCATCAATTCTCCTGGGATGGAAGAAGACCCTATCGAGTGGATAAATCACAAAAGAGCTATCGTCAATCTCTAAGTTAGTGTCTGAACTCATACCACGGGGGACGATCTTCCTGAAGAACCAAATATCGAAACTCAAGAGCTGATAAAAATGAAAGTGGTAACTTATCCTCTAGGATATGAGCTGACTAAGGAGGACGATCTCTCCTTTTAATCAAGATCATAAATTGGACTCCAAGTAACAAATACTCATGCAACTCATTTCCAAAATCTTCACGTGGTTGTACATAGTGACGAGCACAAGAAGCTAGCATTTGAAATTAGCCTGTGGAGACAAAAGATTGCAACATCGAAAGCTCGAATATGCCTTGATTAGGAAACAATTCTTCTATATTGAAAATATGACTTTCATTTAAGTGTGATGGCCAATCAAATAGAAAACCTTTTTACAAATACTCTAATTTATATAGCACACCGAAAGTAAATTCGAAAATTTCATGATTGGAAATGATTTGACATTTTAACTTGACATGAAATTTAGGAATACTGTCCAAATAATGAAGAGCTAGTGTAGTGTGTCGATAATTAGTGGGCAACATCCTATTGTCAATAGGAAGAGTGTGCAATCGAGTGATGACCTTAGAGAAAAATGTGGCAGCCCGTAGAATCTCATGTATTTGAGGAAGAACTAAAACAAAGTCAACATGAAAGTCATGCAACATAGTAGG